TTCAAAGGAAAGTGAATAACCTCTGATCAGTCGCACAGCTACAGCACACCTCGACACGTCCTGCGTTTCGCCCATCACCCTGTTCATAGTCCAGTCTGTGAATAAACCAGCTGCCATGTTTACAGCTGCCCCTCAAAAGCGTGAAGTGTTGCAGAGCTTCACCTGAGCTCACTCTGGTCCACTTTGACTGAGCTCCAGTCTGCTGACTGTGTGGCCCACTGCTCCCACAGTAAACTCACCTGTATGTGATGCACATGTGCACTAGCTACAGTACACACAGCTGTATGTTAGCGAGGTGGGGAACACACTGTGGCGCCCCTCCCTCCCCCCTGCAGTGGGCGTAGCTGCACACACGCTGCTGCACACGATGCTGAAAAAGCTCCACGGGTGGGTTAAAACCTTTGAAGATGAATGCTCTGTAGTATCCTGTGCACTATAGATAGCACTGGGTGGTCTGCACCGCCCCTCTGTGTGGTGTTATATAGACAGTCACTGTTGCTGTGAGGCTGTGATTCACGGCTGATCGTCGAATGATTAAAGCCTCACATTTGTGTCCACGTCAGCTGACATGCACTTCCTCTGAGTTTTTCCCGTCTGACTCGTCTCTCTGTCACATGTTTGCTCTTCTGTGATAATCACATTATGTAGGCGATGGTATCGTGTTGTTTGTTTATTAGTTGGTGTGAAAATGTGTTTTATTGGAATCATTTGTAAAATGAATCAAATCTCTTAATGTTGAATAATGATTTTGTTAAATCAAACTTACAGTTGAACGTTAACTCTTCTTCTTCTTTGCTGTTACTGCTCCTGTTGTTGGGTCAGTTTTCCCTGTTCCCTCAAAAATGGTGTCCAGTGTTTGAAACGATATTATCATGACGGCCTACTGCCTGCACACTCTGACCACAGGAGGCTGCACTGTTGTGCACCAGGACACGCCCAGGATGCCCTGCAGCTGACGGTGTTGGATGAGGCGTTCTGCTGGATTTAGGCCAAGGTGGTCTCAGTTCATCATCCAGGGATGAACCTGCTCTGTTAAAGCACAGGGTGCTAAGCTCTGGTATCCTGAGTGTTAGTCGGCTCAGCACAGGGCCCACCTGTGGATGCTGGGCCTTCAGCCCACTCCATAAAGTCTGCTTCTGATTGTTTGGACATTCACAGCAGTGGGCTGTGGGCACGCTGTTTGTCCTGGCAAAAGGAGCAGATGCCGGTCCTGCTGATGGGTTAAGGATCTTCTAC